AATATGATTTATTAATACATAAATATTACTTTGATGAATTTTTTTTAACATTGAGTGGGGGTGCCATATGGAACTCTTACCCATTTCATTTATAAATGGAAAATAAGAAGTCATTTGGTCCATCTAGACCAGCATTTCTCAACATTTTTGACATCATGGAATAACTTGTTTCCTATCTTAACTGTTGTATACCACTAAAATGCAAACACAGCGAAAAGCCATTATAATTTAACATGAATACTCCAACAGTTTTTATTTGTTTGTTTTTGTAAAATCCCACAGGTCAACAAGGTTGTTGTGATGGACCTGTGGCTGAGAAACAGCGATCTAGGTTATCCCATTTTCTACTAACAATGTATTACAAACTACACTTAGAAACTCCTTTTCCTAAATCCAACCCTTATCTCTAAAGTAGTCATTCTACATTGGAGCTTTTACCACATCTGAAGGTAAACTATTTCACAAAAATGGATAACAGTAAAAATCTTCATAAAAAATACACTGAAAAATATCTTTTTCTTCTGACACTGTTGAACCTAAATATAAATTAATAACATGAAAATTTTATAAATGGACTTCATGTACGCTAAAAGTAATTGGAGAAAATTGTAATATATATATAAAAAAACTTACTTCTTAATCAGCAAGCTTTTAATGCACACACTAATTAAACATTAAATAGTTATATACAATTACTAATAATTGCAATGATTAGCTCTAAAGTCATGATATTTACATAATCTACAAATTATTATGAAATTTAACTTTCAAGGCATTACAGAATTTAATGTTTAATTAGCTTACTCACAAATGGATTGATTTAAATCTTTATTATGTTTTAACTAGTGTACTCTTTGTTCTATATATTTTTCATAATTCAGCTGAAACTGAATGGCTAGTTTAATAGTGGTTTTAAGTTTATTCTGAACCAGTTGTTTTGAGAATTCATTTTCAATTTAATTAAACTTATGTCAAAATTAATAATGATGGCACTAATTTGTTAATACTTTAGTAAATACCTATTATTACAAAAAACCTGTAAAATTAAAATAAATCACATCATTAGTATTGTTAAGTGTCAGTCGTTTGATTACAGTTACTAGTGTTAGTAATATTAGTAAAATAGTATGAATTACGTCATTTAACAATACGACTTATAAAAGTTGTAACCTATTTAGTAACTTTGTTAAAACTTAAATGTAACTTTGTAGTTGTAACAACAGTAATTTCTGGTCAACATACACCTTATCATCAAGCTTTTAAATAATGGACACTGACCAACATAAGTTGTGCCTAATGTAATTAACACCACTCGCGGCATCCATTATTACAACAGAAACTTAAAATACTAGCCTAACTTATAGTTAAACAAGTTTGAAAACAGGTCAAAATTTTCGGATCTCGTTTAACTTGAAAGTTGAAGTTTCTGCTCAGCCTACACTACAGAGTAAGTATTCGTATCATACTTTACACTAAACAATATTAAGAAGAAGACAAATTCACTTGTCTAGACAACAAAACAAATGGTCGCACTTTAAAAAATATATCAAATACCCTAATTTTTTTTAGCAGAAGGCCAACTTTCTCACGTAACACTTCCAATTTTAAGATTCATCCTCCATCTTAGACTGAACGTTTTTATTCTCCCATACTCCCTCGCGCACGATCATAATAACTCTTGACACTTGCGCTCACAGAGGTCGTTTTCATTTATCTTGTCGCCCTGAATTTTCTCATATTGTGACTGAAAATCACTTTTGTACACTTTCTAATGCGAAGAAATTTGAAGACAAATGCATTATATGTTTCAATGTTTTTGTGTCATATGTTAGTAATATTCAGTACAATAAAGATTTTTAACGAATTTGTGTATGACCTTATAATTAACATTAGGCTCGGATCAAAGCAAGCTAACTACTGTGAACAACATTAAGTATTAGCCTCGTAATGAGAATAGCTAATTAAACATACTTTTCTTGCGTTCTTACTTATGAAGAGTAGAATGCTCTTTTTATTCAGCTGGGTACCCTTGCTGTTAATAATATTCTCAGCCGTAAATATTAAGGTTCAAAAGGTTTTTGTTTTATCAATCCCACCGAATTAAATACTTAATACATTTTTTATAAAGCATCACTTAATATTTACTATAAAAATAATCTCTATATTTTTATTTTAATGATATGAAATTTGTTTATTTACATTTGTTTGAATTCTCTGTTCTGTTTGTTTTGCTTTTGTATTTGTCAGACGTTTTCGCATTCTATATTAGATAAGTACAATAAGAGATGACTAGTTGGTCAAAGATATTGTGTCTCCCGGTGGAACAGTGGTACGTCTTCGGATATACAATGCTAAAATCAGGGGTTCGATTTCCTTCGGTGAACACAACAGATAGACCGATGTGGCTTTGCTATAAGAAAACACACATACACACAACGGACTTCTGAATAAATTTCCATCTTTTAAATCAAAATTTGCAAGTAGTGTCAGGTAGATAGATCTTGAACACGTTGTAAACGTTCCTTAACGAGTTGATTACAATAAATGTATCAAAATTATCATGAGAAAAAAAAGCGTAGTACGAGAAAGAGAAAATTTAATAGGTCAAGTAAAGATTATATTCTTAAGTAGTGAAGATTGTTCTGTGAAACTGTTTAGGCTTTACAATGAACATAATATTTCCTGGATATCTTAGCGACTCTCCATTTTTCAACTTTCTGGTAGATTGTTTACTTAATCTGTCATTAACTGTTGCTGTAGCTCCAGTACGCCTAAAAGAATTTAACATAAGATAGTGTTTAAGGACAGTAATGGACCTACTGGTCCATCTAAGCTGTTCCATCCTCTAAACTAAACTAAAACTATTAAATAAAAAACTCAAAGCCAGCCTTTACCATTCATATAGTTTTCAACATTTTTTTTAAACTTACACTTAAATTAAATTAGTCCTCCCACAACAATTCTAAAGAATAACTACGTTCCTAAA